CTATTTGGCAAGAAAAATTGATTTTGGAATGGAAGGATGGAATTACTCTGTGTTATTTCGAAACATCTCTATACATCCAATCTCTGCATGCAGTGCAGATTGAGAGAAGACAGAAATGAAATGTTTTTCCTCCCACCACTTCTGTTGCACAGATTGCCTCATTTTAGTGTGATATGGCCAATGGGTTGGTATATGAACATAAAGCTTGCAGGAGCTGAAATACAAAATATTTTAAAACCAGTGGGGAAAAAATAATCTGAGAGCAAGCATGAGCAAAGACTCTGCAGGGGTTTTTGTGATGTTTTCTCATTCATCTGAAGAACTGGTTTGAGTTATATTGAGTTATATATATAAATTCTGTTATATTGTTTGTAAATTACGCCCTCAATTGACAAATGGATATTTAACTACTGTGTAGTAAGATTTGTCTGTACACTGTACATATATAGTTTATCATTATTATTATTAGCTTATATTTTAATCTGCTATTGTCATACTGATACACTTTTTGTGCGATTTCGTTTTTACACTGGTCAAAGACTGAATAAATTGATTGAATTGAACTGGTTTGAGTTTGTTAGCTACATTTTCTTGTAATCTGAAGCCCTAGAAAACATGGCTCAGTTTAAAACAATAAAAATGTTTTTTCCAGTTTAAAATCTTCTGCTTTAAAAAAAATGACAATGAGGGCTAAACCTAACTTTTCTCCCATATGTATTCTATTCTTCAGTTCAGACACCTACTGGGATTGATTTCTAGGTTGCTAAACAGGAGGGGAACTGAGAAGGAATGATTAGCTTTAATTTAATGTGGACAAATAATCATATTAAATGATCAGGGATGTAAAGGGTGATGCATAAAATCTACTTTTCTAATGGATCAGCCATCTCCTCCTCCTCCTCTTACATCTTGTGGTTGCTCAGTCATACTCATATTTTCTGAAGTAATCTCAAAAGATAGATGGTCAGTCTATTATGCATTTTAGTTTATTAATTTATCATATTTATATATTTGACCTGGTTGAATCCAAAAGGTTTTTGTAGAGGAATTAACTGATTGGCATTGAATTACAGGAGTTTTCACTCTGAGGCTCTCTCAGCACAGTATGGAACACAGTGTGTCTCTCTTTTAGTACAGGAATTAAGAGGTTCTTTTTAATTTCCTTTTTCTTTTGGCAACCTCCGTGTATTTAGAATTCCATGTGCATAACTAAACAATATCTTGTAGCTTACTGAATGCACTGATTGGCAGATTTCAGGAATAAAATTTTTGCTTCCAGAAGAAGTACTAATTTTTATAACTGATATTCTGCTCAAGAGGGAATGCTGAGTTTGTTTCAGAAAGGAAAATCCATTTTAACCAATTGTAGGACTAAAATTAATGTTAAATAAATTGTGCATATGTTTCATGTTGTTTTCAACAAAAGTCAGAATGAGAGAGAAGTGGCTTCTCGGTCTTTGAAAATGTGGGGTGGAGTGGGGTTAGAGAAAGAATGCAAGTATTTGACCTACAGCACAAAAGTAGCCAAGGTCAGTGAAATAACTAAGGGCAACTTGGACAGCTAAAATCCTCATACCTTGGCCAACTGAGCCTCTCTTAAGGATCAAAGGTTGTTTCCTTTTTTTCCTAGCCTGCCATGAATTTGCTCACCTAGGTTTACTGCTGTCCTAGGGGAGGAAAAGAAGTAATACATGATATGGTGTATGACAAGAACAGAGACACTATTGACAAAAATATACCTTGGTGACTGAGAAAATCTTTCCTGATGCCTGTGTGCTTCATCACTTAGGTGGTGTCTGTACTGGCCAGAATACTCTGGGAGCAATGCAGAGTATCCTGGCCCCAGAGCTGATCCAACTTCCCCCTTTTACCTGGGGTACTCCCTTCTGGAGCTGGACAGCTTTTCGCACACATGTCCCACTACGCCATTCAGCACCACAGCCACAGGTGAGAGTCACTTGCTTCTGAGGTTAGAACGAGGTGCCCAGCTTTGATCACATAGCTGAGCACCTTGTTCTGACCTCAGAGCAAGTGACTCTTGTCAATGGTGATGCCAGGCAGCACAGAGAATGCATGTTTGAACAGCCAGCTGGCATCAGAATGGAGGACTCAATATCTTCCGGGAAGATCCAGTTTTTAAAACTGTTAACAAGAACGTCGTTCAGACTGTTTGCACAAAACCCACAGTTTTGGCCATGCATTGTGTAGACTCCCTGCTAAAAGGACAGGGGCTGGGAAGGACTTTTTGTTGTTGGTCCCATGCAGACAGGGCCCAGGAGCCCTTTTCACTACGAAAACCAATTGACAAGTTTTGGCAGGGAGGAGCTATGTTGTTGCTGTTGTTTTGTTGTTATTATTGCTGTTGTTGTTGCTTATTGCTGATGTTATTTTAATCATTACCACCATCACCACCACCACTGCCAGTATCTATTTCATACCTACAAGTGCTTCACATTCACTGGCTGCAATGCAACATCCCTTTAGCATGGTGTAAATATCTGCACAGAGAGACATACTACACCAACACTATGCAACCACCATGCAGAATAAAACATTATGTAATCCATATCAATGACTGAGTGCCATGGTGCAGTGCACAACACAACTTCATGGTTGCAACACACAATATTGCTGTACTTACAATTCTGCTTTCACTTCTGTCCACAAAATGCATCTCTTGTCCTTTGGTGAATAGTTTACATGTAGCACAAGTGTACCACAGAAGAAATAAACAAATTCAATCTAGACAAAGAGGAAATTGAAATAGTTAAAGAATTCCCATATCTAGGATCCAACATTGACAAGAATGGAGACTGCAGTCAAGAAATAAGAAGACTAGGAATGGGAAGGACAGCTATGAAAGAACCGGAAAAGATATTGAAGAGCAAAAACATACAGCTGAGCACTAAAGTCAGAATCGTTCAGGCCATTGTATTCCCAATTACCATGTACGGATGCAAGAGCTGGACAGTGAAGGAAGCAGATAGAAAGAAAACTTATTTGAAATGTGGTGCAGGAGAAGAGTATTTGGGATACCATGGACAGCCAAGAAGACAAACAAATGGGTTCTTGAATAAATCAGACCAGGGCTTTCCTTTCCTTAGAAGCAAAGATGATTGAGCTGAGACTATTGTATTTTGGCCACATCATGAGAAGGCACTGATCACTAGAAAAAACACTATTGCTAGGAAAGGTAGAGGGTAGAAGTAAGAGAGGAAGACCACAGACCAGATGGATAGACTCAATCAGGGGGATATGGGCAAGGGCTTGCAGGATCTGGATAAGGCAGTGGAAGATAGGGATTCTTGGAGATGTCTCATCCACAGGGTTGGCATGAGTCAGAACCGACTCGAGGATAGCTAACAACAACAAGCACAAGTTATTCATGTGTATGTCACCAACAGGATGCCAGCTGTTATCTCAGTAATCCTCACAACAGCCCTGAAAGCTAAGAGAAATATTATCCTCATATTTCAGGTGGGAAAAGGTAACTTGTCTATGTCACAAAGTGATGCATTCACAAAATCTTATCTCTGTTTAGTAAAACCGGCTGCTAGCACACTGCAGAATTAATGCAGTTTGACATTGCTTTAACTGTTATGGCTCCATCCTATGGAATCCTGGAATTTGTAGTTTGTTGTGGCCCCAGAAATCTCTAACAGAGGCTAAATATCTCACAAAACTACCAATCCCAGAATTCCATAGCAGTGAGCCACGGCAGTTAAAGTAGTGTCAATCTGAAGTAATTCTGCAATGTAGATGCAGCCCAAGAGAGACTCTTGCTTGTGCTTATAGCCCTTTTTCTCTTCCCTTCCTACATGGAATACAGAAGTCCCTGATAATCCATGGTGGGTCCTATGAAATTCATGGGATCATTATAAGTCAATACGTGATTTGAAGGTGCATGTGCGCACATGTGCACACACACACACAAGTCAACACATATCCCATTGATTCAGTGGGTCTACTTTAGGTAGCACGAGCAACAGAATTCAGGACATGATTTATTAATTTGAATAAACTGGATAGTAAAGCCAGCATAGTTTAGTTGCTTGAGTGCTGGACTAGGATAATGGGAACTAGGGTTCACTTGGCCATGGACACCCACCAGGTGACGTTGGGCAGATCACGCTCTCTCAGCCTCAGAGGAAGGCATGGACACCCCCCCCCAACAAATTCTGCCAATGAAACCCTGTGGTAGGGTTGCCTTAGGGTCACCATAAGTCAGAAATAACTTGAAGGCACACAACAACAACAACAACAACAACAACAACAACAACAACAACAACAACAACATGCCTGATATGGTCAGATACAAAAGGAATTGTATCTGCCCTAGATTTAATAGCTGCATAAAACAGTAACTTTTAACAGGTTCAGCTTCTTTCATACTTATATTTGCTTGTATACGGTACTTGCATATTTTACCTGTCAAAGTCCTCTCTTCTTCCCATCTATTCAAAAGTATAAGGGCAGTGTTCACTGAAAAATTAGGAAAATCCCAGATCTTGATTCCTGCAACTGGTTGGACAACTTAGTTAGCCAAAGTGACTTAACCACATTCCCCAACATGCCAGGAATAGTTTCTTGAAAGTGAAATGACAAGAGTTAAATATGGGGGAAACTGTGAAGGAAACAAATGTCTGTTCAGCAACATTAAGAATTTTCTCTTTTGTAATTCTAGATTTTGAATTAGTTAAGATACAAAACACTTGGTGAAAGGTGATCGCAAAAGCCCAATCTTTTGGGGAACCCCACATGTTGTTAGCAAATATTTCACTGCTGGGCTTTATAAATTAAGAGGTCACTAACTGTTGACCTCACCACCATTGATGCTAAGGGTGCATTTCCAGTTCTAACTTGCAGGTAGCATAGGCACTGCTTGGTGTGAAAAAGGTTGTGAATATAGGAAACAGCACTACACAGAGATCTATTCAAGTCACACCAACTTCTGCTTCACAGCCTCTGTTGTAAGACAAGCCTAATGCACTTCTAGGAAAGCCAGTGTGGTGTAGTGGTTTGAGCTTTGGACTATGAGTTTGGAGGTGAGGGTTCGAATCCCTGCTCAGCCAGGGAAACCCACTGAGTAACCTTGGACAGGTCACACACTCTCAGCCTCAGGAAAGCAATAGCAAACCCCCTCAGAACAAATTCTGCCAAGAAAACCCTGTGATAAGTTCACCTTATGGTCACCATAAGTCATAAATGGCTTGAAGGCACACAACAACAATGGCACTTATATTTGATGTAGAACAGGATCTATGTTCTTTGGCTTTACATGTTGAACTTAGCCTTGGCCAGTTTCAAGGATGTATTTTGGTACTAAATATATCAGTGGTCAGGAATGGACTGGATGAGGGTGAGCAAATTAAAGATTAATCCAGATACTCCTGGACCCAACCCTGTAGTTGGATGAGCAGTTTTCAGGTGTGGCCAAGAGTACATTTGAACAGTACTCTTGTGTGACAGTGGGCAGATCTGGTTACAGTGATGCATGCTTCTATATAATGCTCTATGTGGGACTGCCTTTGAAAATTGTTTGGAAACTTCAGCAGGTCCAAAATGCTACAGAGAAATTGGTTATTGGGCCTGGTTACATGAGATTTATAATCCCTTTGTTGGAACAGCTTCACTGGCTAGCAGTTTGCTTCTACATGGAATTCAAATTGGTGGCTATGATCTATGTCCAGCTTATTTGTAAGACATGAGCCTGCTCGAGTTTTCAGATCTTCTGGGAAGGACCTTTTCTTGCTTACACTACCATCATGGGCATATTTGGAGAGAACTTGTGAGAGGGCCTTCTTGGTGGTTGCTCCCAGGCTATGGAACTCCTTCTCATGGCAGGCTAAGCTAGTGCCTCTCTGCTCTCTTTGGCTGTTAGCTGGCTGTTGCAGAAGAGTCTGCAAGAGAATTATATGCAGAAGAGTGTTTCAATGGAAGGTTGCTGTATTGTGTCCTATGTTTTAAAACCGTTTTAATAGGATTGCTTATTTAAATATTTTTAACTTTTGTATTATACACTGGTTTAGCTGTATGAGCCCCCCAGTGTATTGAGATCATTGGGAGAGGCCCTTCTCTCTGTTCCACCACCCTCTCAGGTGCGTTTGGTGGGAACAAGAGAGAGGGCCTTCCTCGCTGGGTCAGGAAATAAGAAAGAGGCAAAGAGCCAGTTTCAGCCGCAAGGAGGCTATCCTTGTAACCATGGCTGAGTGAGCCTGCTTCATTCTTCCCTTGCCTTCCCCAAGCAGAGAAGCTCCATATGTGATGAAAGCCAATGCCTTGAGTTTCCTTGCCTGCTGCTTCTTATCCCAAGCTAGAGTATGTCTCAGATGTCACCTGGAAGAAAAGTGGCAACTCCGAGCATTGGCTGAGATTTTTGTTTTTAATCCAAACCAAGGAGTGGTAGATAATGGCAGCTCAGCCAGTGCCTTGATGAACCACTCCTGCAAGTGGGCACCAAGCTGTTTTCCCAGGGTCTCTTTCTGCACAGGGGGAAAAAAAAGGTAATGGGACAGATGATGCCAGAGGATGAAGCTTTGGGTGTGAGACTGAAGTGTGTGTGTCTTGCACCCTGACATCCAGCCTGCGAGATTGATTCGGGGAAAGGGACAGTCCAGCTCCTCAGATCAGTGCTGTCCCCCACCTCTGGCAAGGCAGTATAGCACTATGCAATTCTATACAAGTGTGCTCAGTACTATAAGTACAGAACAATTCTATACAAGTGTGCTCAGCAGAAGTTACTCCCCCCAAGCCACTCTCTTGTTAGCATGTGTAGCAAGCCCTCCAGATGTCGTTGGACTGCAACTTCCAGCATTCTTCAACATTGCTGGCTAGTGCTGCTGGGAGTTGTCCACCAACTTCTAGAGGGCTGAAGGATTCTCACCATAGTATTATAGGATTGTAGTGTGTGTAACCTAATGTATGATTCCCTCACACATTCTGAGGGAATCACAAAGTAAAGCTGCCCAGCCTTACTGAATACATATACCTGGACCCAAAAAATACCGTATTTTCCGGCGTATAAGATGACCCGGCTTATAAGACGACACCCCCATGTTTCCAGTCAAAATATAGAGTTTTAGCACCTCTATCCTCCTTGTCCTTATACCCGGCGTATAAGATGACCCCCCCACTTTAACCACAGATTCTGCAGGTTTAAAAGTAGTCTTATACGCAGGAAAATAAGGTATCTTGTTTAAACTTCGTCCATGGGACAAACACAAAAAACAAACAAGCCAACAGACAAAAAAAACTAGGAGGGTAGTTGAGTAGCTGGTGCATCCACATATATATAGGTGCTATCTTGTTTCGTCTTGGTGATTTACCAGTTGTTCTAGCCAAAAGGCTCTTCCTTTGCTTTTTGCTTTTCTTTTCTCATTGATTTCTGAGGTCACTTCCATATGTTGTCTTTTTATTTGTTTGAACACGCTTTACATTTTTAATTGTGTTATTTCAGTCATTCTCAGGTTACCTTTATTATTGTTGTTGTTCTTTTTATTTACATAGTGTCATCAGTTTACAATTTACATGGCACTTTACCTGTGCGACAACTGAAAACAATAGGTCCTGCCAAAGGTGTACAATCTAAAGCGTGTGCATACGGATACACACAAATGAAATGAAAGAATAATAAAATAAAATTGTAGGTAAAATACAAAAAAATACAATATAATATAAAACTAACTAATACATGCAATCAAATATAAACAGGATTATAAAACAACATTAAGCTACAGTTCCAAATGCTTTAGAAAACATGAAAGTTTTAAATTCAGATTTAAAGTGATGACGAAATGTACAAAACAAATGCAGAGAAACTCATAATGTGTACATCCTTAGAGAGGAGTAAATATAGAGGAATCTGGTATTTGAGGATGAAAATATTCCTAATAAATCAACACAAACTTCCTAGAAAGGATGTTCCACTGTGCAATACACATCATTCAGAGTGTAGAGTTGCAACATTCCCATAGTATTTTATTTTAAATAGCAAAAAGTATTTTATGCTGGCTGCTCCTTCCGGCATATATTTGTGCAAGTCCTGCTTCCAAGTCCAGACACTTAAGATATTTAATTTTTGTTCTGATCCAATTAACTTCAATGCAGTTATTTTAATCATATCTGAAAAATGAAGCTAGTTGGACAAAATATACAAATATTCAAATCTCATAACTCATGAGTTAATGCAATTAAATATTTTAACAAGTCCTCCATCCTCTCTCTTCTTTAGTCATACTGAAGATGTGTAGATTTTTATTTCTGTTATCATACAGTAAACTCTGCTCAAAATCCTCAGCTACACTTCTGCAATCTGTTATTGTCATACATGGCTTAATATGTACAAAAGTAAAGCTCTGTTACTTATGGTACTATTGTCACAATCCATAATTTACATTCAGAATTTAAGAAATACAATTAAATTTTGACATAAATATGCTTTGAAATAGTTTTGTTTGTCTGGTGTCTCACCACCAAAGATGAGATGGTGTCTCAAAGGAATATCTTAATGTTTCTTCCTCATTGGTTTATGTATATTGCATATTTTAAATCAAATTTAAATCTTTCTGTTTATAGAGCTTGTCCCTCTGCTTTGCTGATACAAACTTTCACAGGACATTGCCAGCAGGCATGTATACTTGTGTATTGAGTGTGGATGCTTTTTAAGAAAAACAGTGCAGAACTGAAATTCAAAAAAAGCTTGACCCTCTCTCCCTTCCAAGGGCTTCAGTGTGAAATATGATTTTGTACATAGTATTTATGATTTATTTATTTAACATTTCCAATAAGCAGAGGGATACTGCTTTTGCTTCTTTTTTCACAATTTTGTCTCCTGTCTACTTTTCTCCTTCTTCTCTTTCTTCCCCAACATTGGCCCCATTTCTCTAGTGTTTTGTGCCAGGTAGATTTGGGGAGTTTCGATAATGCGTTCATTTATGCAATACCGAATCTGACCTGATGTGAAGTTCACACTATGTTTACCCCAATCGAATCTATCCAGTACAATATAACACTTTGGAAGTTCACACTAATGAAAGTACCGATTCAAAATGGATCCTCCTGATCGATCGCATTTGATCATTTTCAGGTATTTTTTTTGTTTTGTTCTGTCAATCAAATTATGTGCATCTATGTCACTTCACTTCCGCTGTCATCATTGGTGACATCACTTTATATACAGGGGGAGGGAGGAATTAATACTCAGAAGATGTGT